TCCCAAACCCCGGTGGGAGAGTTTTGGGGGGTGGGAGGGTTTGGGAGGGATTTGGGGCGAGGGTTTAGGGTTTAGGGTTTAGGGTTTAGGGTTTAGGGTTTGTGAGGGTTAAGCTAATGCGGGGAAGAAAATTCAAACGAACCACTTCACTCCTCTCCTTCCTTCCTCCATTTATTCATTTATTATTTATTTATTTATTTATTTATTTATTTATTATTTATTTGTTTATTTATTTGTTTATTTATTTATTTATTTATTTATTTATTTATTTATTTATTTATTTATTTATTTATTTATTTATTATTTGTCTCAGTGGGATGTCTCATTGGGCTGCTGTTGGGAATAGTGATTGGCTTCGCGCCCATCTTCAGGAACTTGAAGATGAACAGCAGATACATTCGCCACGGCTTGCAGAAGTGGGAAATAAATAAATAAATAATAAATAAATAAATAAATAAATAAATAAATAAATAATTAAACAAAAAATAAATAAATAAATAAATAAATAAATAAATAATAAATAAATTAATTAATTAATTAATAATAAATGGAGGTTAAAAAGAGGGTTTAAGGGGAGAAAAAACGAAGAAAATAGAGCAAGTGGAAGAAGAATTGCGAAGTTCGGTGGAAGTGTTTTAATAAATTAAATTAAAAAAGTTTGCCAAATAATTTAAAAATTAATTCGCCAGCAAGCAGCAATTGACGGAGAAGAACTGAAAGACACAAACCCTAAAAAAGGGTTTTCTTTGCTGCTTGTTGCGCTGCAGCACGGCAGATAACAGCAGCAGCAGCAGCAGCAGCAGCAGCAGCTTCAGGGGCTCCAGACATGACTTCCGGCCCCCCGAGTCTCTGGCTAGCCAGAGGGGTTTGAAGAGCAGCAGCCCCACTGCAGCAGCAGCAGCAGCAGCAGCAGCAGCAGCAGCAGCAGCAAACCGCTCCCCCTCCGTTTTGAAAATGCGAAGTTCAGCTAGCCGATCGCTAGACAGCAGAACCCAAAGCGGCATTCACGACGGAACTGCTGCTGCTGCTGCACAGCAGCAGCAGCAGCAGCAGCAGCAGCAGCAGCAGCAGCAGCAGCAGGCGAAGACGAATGGAAACGCAGTACCGAATAACTCTTAAGTGAGCAGCTGTATGTACACTTGGAGACAATTATACACTAAAAGAAAACACAACTGGAGATTTAGTGGAACAAAAGAATTATAAAAGAAATAAAAAAAGAAATAAGAAAGAAATAATAAAAGAAATAAGAAAAAAATAATAAAAGAAATAATAAAAGAAATAATAAAAGACATAATAAAAGAGATAATAAAAGAAATAATAAAAGAAACAATTAACAAGAAATTGAGAAGAAGTTGAAGAGAATTTAAAAAGAAATGAAGAGGAAATAAGAAACTGTTTAAAAAGAAATAAAAAATATAAAATATAAAATATAAAAAATACAAAAAATAAAATAAAATATAAAAGTAATAAATATAATTAAAGAAATAAAAGGAGAGAGAAGAAGACCAAAAGAGCTGTTAGTGAATTTATTTTTTTGTCAAGTAAAAAGCCATTCAATAAAGAAAGAGAAATGAAATAATGAAGTAAATAAACAAACTAAATAAATTAAATAAAATAAATTAAAAAAATGAATAAAACAAATAAAATAAATAAAATAAATAAAATCAATAAAATAAACAAAATAAACAAATAAAATAAAACAAATAAAATAATGAATTGAATAAAATAAATAAAATAAATAAAACAAATAATTATTTGATTTGATTTTGTTTTCTGTGTTTGTGTTTAGGGTCTTTTGGTCTTCGCCACTTTTTTGTCTTTTGGGCCTTTGAAGGAAAAGGCAAAAATTTGATTTGAAGAAAATAAATAAATAAATAAATAAATAAATAAATAAATAAATAAATAAATAAATAAATTAGTTTAATTAAATCAAAATAAATAAAAAATAGATAAATAAATAAATGGACAAAAACATTTCAACTCTTTTGACTTTTGTTAAGTCTCCAGAGACAAAAAGAAGTCAAAATAGAAATTAAAAAAGAAATTAAAATAGAAATAAAAAAGAAATGAGAAAAGAAATTTCAGGAGAGAAATTAAAATAGAAATTAGAAAAGAAATTAGAATAGAAATTAGAATAGATATTAGAACTTAGAGAAGAAATTAGAAAAGAAATTGGAAAAGATTTTAGAAAAGAAATTGGAAAAGAAGTTAAAAAAGAAATTAAAAAGAAATTAAAAAAGAAACGGAAAGGAAACGGAAAAGAATTAAAATGGAAACGGAAAAGAAATACAAAAGAAATGGAAAAGGGAAAGGAAATTAGAAAAGAATTGGAAATAAAATAAAAAAGAAATTAAAAAAGAATTGGGGAATAAAATAGAAAAGAATTGGAAATAAAACAGAAAAGAAATTAAAAAAAACTGGAAAAAAAGTAGAAAGGAAATTAGAAAAATGTTGGAAAAAAAAAGAAATCAGAAAAGAATTGGAAATAAAACAGAAAAGAAATGAAGGTTAGGAAAGAATTGGAAAAGAATTGGAAAAGAAATTGGAAAAGAAATTAAAAAAGAAATTAAAAAAGAATTGGAAAAGAAACGGAAAAGAAATATAAATTGGAAAAGAAATAAAAAGGAAATAAAAAAAATTTGAAAGTTAAAAAGAAATTCGATTTTATTATCTTTTTATTTTCTTTTATTTCTTTTTTGTTTCTTTTACAAATTCCATGAAAGGAAAAACAAAAAAAGAAATAAAAAAAACAAATACAAAAAGACAAGAAGGAATTTAAGAGAAATTAGAAAGAAATTAAAATGAAATAAAGAAGTTAAAAAGAAATTAAAATGAAATTAAAGTGGAATTAAATGAAATTAAAAAGATGTTGACGGGAAATTAAAAAGAAATTAAAAAGAAATTAAAAAGAGACAAAGAAAAGTAAAAAAGAAGAAAGGCAAACAAAAAGATATAAAACGACGGGAAACAAAAGAAATATAAAAGAATTTAAAAAGAAAATGAAAATAAGAAATTAAAAAGAAAAAAGAACAAAAAAGAATCAAAAGAGACAAAAAAGGAAAGGAAAAAAAGAATTAAAAATAAAAAAAAGGAAAAAATAAAAAGAAATAAAAAAGCCCAGAAAAAGAAATTAGAAACAATAAAAAAAACGGCATAAAAGAATAAATAGAAAAAGAAATTAAAAGAAATAGAAAGGAAATGCGAAAGATACATAAAAAGAAACAAGAAATAAAAAATAAAAGGATAATAAAATAAATAAAAAAATAAAAAGGAAATAAAAAGAAAATAAAAAGAAAATAAAATAATAAAAGGGACAAGGAGATGAAAGGAGATAAATCGTCAGATTAATGGAGACAAGTAAGTCGAAACCCTAAACCCTAAACCCTAAACCCTAAACCCTAAACCCTAACTAAACCCTAAGCCTTTGAGAATTTCTACGAAATCTCTAGAGCCAAATGAGTCAACGAAGCTGAACTAACAATCTTACAAATGTCCAAACCCTAAACCCTAAACCCTAGACCCTAAATCCTAAACCCTAAATCCTAAACCCTAAACCCTAAACCCTAAACCCTAAACCCTAAATCCTAAACCCTAAACCCTAAACCCTAAACCCTAATCTCTGCCAAAGAGACAAACTGGCAGAATAAAGCAGCTAATGCCAGCGAATCATATTTTAAAAACAAACTGAGGGTTCTATTTCTTCAAATAAGAAATAATAAATAAATAATAAATAAATAAATAAATAAATAAATAAATAAATAAATAAATAAATAAATAAATAAATAAATAAATAAATAAATAAATGGTAAAGATAAAAGTCAAACACGGAAGAAAAAGCTGCAAAGAAAGCCAGGAGGGGAATAGGGCCTCGGGTCTCCAAACCCTAAACCCTAAACCCTAAACCCTAAACCCTCAATAAACCCTAAACCCTAACGCCTCGGATCTCGCGTCTGAACCGCTGAGTCCTAAACCCTAAACCCTCGGCGCCAGAAGCCCTGCACTCCAATCCCCCGACCCGAAACCCCAAACCCCAAACCCCAAACCCTAAACCCTAAACCCTAAACCCTAAACCCTAAACCCTAGACCCCGCAGTCTATGCCCAGCTCCTCCTGGACATTCCAAAGAGCCACCAGGCAACTCTCAGCAACAACTTTGCTGCTGCTGTGGCGCTGCTTTTGGCTGCAGCAGAAGCAAAACAAAACCCTCAGCAGCAGCAAAGGGTTTAGGGTTTAGGGTTTAGGGTTTAGGGTTTGGGGGCCAGCCGGGGGCTCCAAGCTGCTCTAGACGGCCCAGGGTTTAGGGTTTAGGGTTTACGGAAGATTTGCTCTTGGCGCATATTCAGGGTTTAGGGTTTACCTGGGATTTAAGTATTATTTAGGGTTTAGGGTTTACCCAGGGTTTAGCTTTTATTCAGGGTCTAGGGTTTGTGCATTATTTAGGGTTTAGGGTTTGTTTGGAGTTTAGGGTTTAGGGTGAAAATAGGGATTAGGGTTTAGCGCTGATTTAGGGTCTAGGGTTTAGGGTTAATTAGGGTTTAGGGTTTAGGGTTTAGGGTTTGGAATGCTGCGTCAGAAGCGCGCGTTGACAGGGCCAATGGAGATTAAAAATGAGAAGGGTTTAGGGTTTAGGGTTTAGGGTTTAGGGTTTAGGGAGCTCACAGCGCCTGGAGAATGACTTCTCTCATAGTTTGTTCTGCTTCTTTTTCTTGAAAATGCATTTCGACTTTGGAATTTGTTTTTTGAAAAGTTTTTTCTTTTTTGTTTTTATTTATTACTCCAGAAAGGGTTTTGCAAAAAAGAGATAATTGCTGCGAGGCTTTTTGAGGGTTTAGTTTTGCTGCTGCTGCTTCTGCTGCAGCAGCAAGAGACCCCAGGGCCAGCGCTGCTTCGTGCCGCACCATTTGCTGCTCCGGCTCTTCGTGCAGCCGCTGCAGCAGCGCAGCAGCAGCAGCAGCAGCAGCAGCTGCTGCTGCTGCATCCGGGGGCCCCCCCGCTGCTGCTGCTACTGCTGCTGCTGCTGCTGCTGCGTCAGCCGCTGCCGCGTGCCTCCTTGCTGCAGCAGCAGCAGCAGCAGCGAGGAACTCTTCGCGCCCCTCGCCGCCAGCAGCAGGAGCAGCAGCAGGAGCAGCAGCAGCAGCAGCAGCAGCAGCAGCAGCAGCAGCAGGAGGGTAGCGAATTTGTCCCAAAACAAAAGCAAGTTCGTGCCGCAAAAGTGCAGAACTGCTGTCGTGCTGCAGCGCAGCAGCTAAAAGAGCAACAGCAGCAGGAGCTCTCAAGTCCCGCAGCGTGAAGAGGGCTCGGTAGCTGCAGCAGCAGCAGCAGCGCAGCAGCAGCAGCAGCAGCGCAGCAGCAGCAGCAGCAGCGCAGCAGCAGCAGCAGCAGCGCAGCAG